GCTCCCCGCAATGAACAAAGACAAAGATTCCCCGTGTAGCCTTAACATACCGTTGGGACAAGTGCTGTTATCGAGCACCTATTAAGGCCGGCACACGAGGGGGTGGGTGGCCAGCACCACGCCCGGCCGCCTTTGTCTCCCCAGTGGCGATGTTTACACTTCGCATCAGGTACTCATTTGAGGCTGAGTCGACCTAGGGGAGGCCCAGGACCGGTTCAGATAATCGCTATCACCGGTATTGGTACCGTGAGCGCGCTAACCGCTACGCCACTGCTTCCCCATCCCGCGATGAACACACAGCCACACAGAGACGAGTGAACACACCATCAGCTATGAATGCACGGAGATGGACACGCACACACGCGCGCGTGCGCGCGCGCGTACACTGAGACACTGGCGAACAGACGAACACACAGACACACTGGGAGGAGGGGGGGGGCGGAGGAGGGGAGGGGCGGGGCTGTGTAAATTGCCTTGAAAGCAGCGGTCTTATCTCTGCGCCGCAGATAACGAGGGGAGGGGGTGTGGGACGTGTGGGGAGGGGAGGAGGGAGGAGTGCCCCCCCGCATCCTAATGAGAGTAACGGAGTGAGGTCAACATCACGGGCAGCCGTCAACTCTCAACACACAAAGACAAACATCCCCCGTGTAGCCTTGACGGACTGCTGGGGCAAGTGCTGTTCGCGAGCACATGTGAAGGATGGGGTGGGTGGCCAGCAACCACCGCCGGCCGCCTTTGTCTCCCCAGAGGCGATGTTTACACTTCGCACCGGGTACTCATTTAGAGGCTGAGTCGACCTAGGGGAGTTCCAGGACCGGTTCAGAATATTCGTCCCCAATTTGGTAGCCGTGAGCGGGAATCGAACCCGGGTTGCCGGGTTGCCGGGTTGCCGGGTTCGTGGCCACCGCAGCCGATATTCAAAATAAAAAAATCGTTAACAGCACTTGCCTCATCGGCCTCTTAAAGGCTACATGGGAGATATTTATCTTAGTCGCATACAGTGCCGAGTTTATCAGTACCCACCTCTCAACGCATTCGTCAACCACACTGCGGCCTTGAAAGAAAAAAACGTAGCTATATAATAGGCGACGTTTCGGGCAATGACCCTCGACAGAACGCACAGAGAGACCAGACGAGGTCGTTGGTGTAAAGAAGGGACATTGCCCGGAACGTCGCCTAGTCCACAGTATACGTGTTTTCTTCCAAGACCCGCAGTGTCGCCGACACGGAACGAGTCGAGGTGCCGTTGCTGATTGTGCATCCCTGCCAGCATCGCAGCAGTAGCAGGAGAATCGCCAACGTCATTTCGATCTAAGCCATGTGTTCATATATTGAACAGGTAACTATTTAAAGCCATGTGATCATATATAGAACAGGTAACTATTTAAAGCCATGTGATCATATATAGAACAGGTAACTATTTAAAGCCATGTGTTCATATATAGAACAGGTAACTATTTAAAGCCATGTGTTCATATATTGAACAGGTAACTATTTAAAGCCATGTGATCATATATAGAACAGGTAACTATTTAAAGCCATGTGTTCATATATTGAACAGGTAACTATTTTAAGCCATGTGTTCATATATTGAACAGGTAACTATTTAAAGCCATGTGTTCATATATAGAACAGGTAACTATTTAAAGCCATGTGATCATATATAGAACAGGTAACTATTTAAAGCCATGTGTTCATATATTGAACAGGTAACTATTTAAAGCCATGTGTTCATATATTGAACAGGTAACTATTTAAAGCCATGTGTTCATATATTGAACAGGTAACTATTTAAAGCCATGTGTTCATATATAGAACAGGTAACTATTTAAAGCCATGTGTTCATATATTGAACAGGTAACTATTTAAAGCCATGTGTTCATATATTGAACAGGTAACTATTTAAAGCCATGTGTTCATATATTGAACAGGTAACTATTTAAAGCCATGTGTTCATATATTGAACAGGTAACTATTTAAAGCCATGTGTTCATATATTGAACAGGTAACTATTTAAAGCCATGTGTTCATATATAGAACAGGTAACTATTTAAAGCCATGTGTTCATATATTGAACAGGTAACTATTTAAAGCCATGTGTTCATATATTGAACAGGTAACTATTTAAAGCCATGTGTTCATATATTGAACAGGTAACTATTTAAAGCTACGTGTTCATATATAGAAGAGGTACCTGTAGTTAATACCATGTGTTTTATATACAGTATAAATAGTGTATCTGTATTTAAGGCTCCGTGTTCGAATATAGAACAGGCGACTTTATAGAAGACGCTTTGTGTTCAGAGTTATTTAAAAAAAATCGAAGACAAAGAATTCCGTATAGCCTTATCAGACTTTCAGAGAATCGTTACCGGCGTTGGCCGTGAGCGGGTCTCTGGGTTCGTAGCGCAGCGCGCTAACCGCTACACTACCGCGTCCCACGAGTGACACGCACACACACACACAGACACAACGCACGCGCACAGGGTGTCCTGCGTGATTCTCTCTGGAAGCGTGATGTTAATTACAGATAACGGCTCCAGGGACCGCCTCAGAGGGGCCCCGAAATTATTCACGTCTCGCGTCCGTGGAAACGCAGCCCGCGACTCGGCGTTCACGCGCTATCCCCGTGTGCTCGACACGTGTCCGTTCGTGTACACACACACACACGCGTGCATACAGGTGTATGACCCACACCACTGGTATACACACACACGCTCGTGTATGTGTGTGTGCGCTATAGACTTCCGAAGACCGGTACCAGCGGTGTCAAGATCGGCCTCTCTTTGGAGGAGGCTCGTGAAGGACGCTGCTGCTGCTGCTGGGCAGTTTGGAGGCAGTCGCCCTCCAGCAACAGGGGAGGGCAGAGGAGCGACGCTCACAACAACGAGGGTGGATAAAACGCAGCAAGTTGGCACAGTAGGGGGGCACAGGTGGTGCATCGGCCAGTCGTCTCAAGTCAGTCGACCCATGGCACCTGGGTCTGTCCCGTGACCTCCTGCCAGCGGGCGTTGGACACTTCACGTGGCCTCAACGTGCACACAAAGTGGCGAATGGCGGTAGTTGTTGTAGACTTGGGTGAACCCGAGTTGGATCACGCTCGCGACCAATAACAAATAGCGAGTGTTCGATCCGGTCCTGGCCTTCCATAGGTCGACTCAGCCTTACAATGAGTACCTGGTGCATCAACACTGGGGAGATAAAGGCGGCCGGGAGTGGTGCTGGCCACCCACTGCCTCTTGTGCCGTTCCCGGCTTTCCTCGGTGCAGGCTAACAACAGCACTTGCCCCCAACAGTCTATTAAAGGCGACGTGGGGGATCTTAGTCTGTGTAGACCATGTACACAACAAGTACCTATGGCACTGCACACGTGACAGTGCGTGTACAAACGTGTACAGCTGTACGCCGTACAATGCCGGTAGACACGTGTGTGTGCTATAGACTGCGTGTGTGTGCTATAGACTGTGTGTGCTATAGACTGCGTCTGTGTTATAGACTGCGTGTGTGCTATAGACTGCGTGTGTGTGTGTGCTATAGACTGTGTGTGTGCTATAGACTGTGCTATAGACTGCGTGTGTGTGTGCTATCGACTGTGTGTGTGTGCTATAGACTGTGTGTGCTATAGACTGTGTTATAGACTGTGTGTGTGCTATAGACTGCGTGTGTGTGTGCTATAGACTGTGTGTTATAGACTGCGTGTGTGTATAGACTGCGTGTGTGTGCTATAGACTGCGTGTGTGTGCTATAGACTGCGTGTGTGTTATAGACTGTGTGTGTGCTATAGACTGCGTGTGTGCTATAGACTGTGTGTGTTATAGACTGCGTGTGTGTGTGTTATAGACTGCGTGTGTGTGCTATAGACTGTGTGTTATAGACTGTGTGTGTGCTATAGACTGCGTGTGTCGGCTATAGACTGTGTGTGTGCTATAGACTGCGTGTATGTGTGTGCTATAGACTGTGTGTGTCGGCTATAGACTGTGTGTGTGCTATAGACTGCGTGTATGTGTGTGCTATAGACTGTGTGTGTGCTACAGACTGTGTGTGCGCTATAGACTGCGTGTGTGCTATAGACTGCATGTATGTGTGTGCTATAGACTGCGTGCGTGTGTGTGCTATAGACTGCGTGTGTGTTATAGACTGCGTGTGCGAGGATCGGTGGTGCAAAGGTTCGCGCATTGCACTACGATTTAGGCTGGCACTCGAGTTCCCCAAATGTCAATATTCAATGTTATTTAACCAGGTGGTGAGAACTCTTCATTTGCAACAGTGACCCGCGGCGTCAGTCTGCCAGTTGGAGCGTGTTTGCAAACTCCCAATTGAGTAAATTAATAAGCCGGACATCAGAGCCGATTTCTATTTGATCATGTACTGGCACTCTCCTAGGTCGACTCGGCCTTGACATAGGAAAACATCAACGATGAGGAGGGGCAATCCGGCGGGGCGTGGTTCGAGCCACACTCTCGTGCGCCCTCCTGCCGGCCTTCTTCACAGGTGCCCACTAACAGCACTTCTCCCCGCCACGGTCTGCGGCTATACCGGTGACCTTTGTGTTTGTCTTTGTCACGTAAATACAGAGACACGCACAATGATGTCACAGGAAATCTCATTACCAGCTCGGTCCAACATTAGCCGGACATCCGTGGAGGTAAAGTCGCAGCCCTGCAACTGCTGGCTCACGCCACTGCTGACGGAAAGGGCCTCCCTCCGTAGAAGGAATTTTGGCCTACTCTTCCATTCTGGCCAGACCTTTTAAAATATGGTGTGGGGGTTGCCCCCCCCCCTCCCCCGCCACCACACACGACCTGCGGATAAGACTTAACTGTGATGTACAGTTTCCATTTATTGAGGCAGGAGAGGAATCGAACCGGCGACCTCTGCATTGCAGGTCCGGTTGTGTGTTAACCATTACAACATCCGTGAGAAACGGAAGACGAACCCAGGAAGAAATAAAAAGAGAAAGAACCAACCGCAAGGTCGCAACGTACAGATGGCAGCACGAGTCGTAGTATTTAGTATTTATTTTTTTGTCTTCTTATTCTGTTATCTCACAATAAAATACACGTTCACGAGTCGCATGCCCGCGTGCGGGGGAGACGAAACGAGGGGAGGGTGGAGGGTGACATCATCATAATAATCCACGGCTTGAGCAATCAGCTGCGACGCGATCGCATCGCTTGTGGGTGGGTGGGTGCGTGTGCGTGCACCATTCTCTGCGACCCGTTCGCGTGCAACTTGATCGCGCGCGCACCGAATCGCTTGTGCGCGGGCCATCTCTGCACGCGGTTGCTGTTCGCAGTCGAGGCCAGACTCCACTTAACAAACGGCGGCCCATCTGCTCGGGGTAACTTCGTTGCACAAGACCATTCCATTCATCACCTGGGGCACACGTTTGAGCAACTGTCGTTACAATGGGCGAATCATAACGCCGTTTGATTTCACTGCGTCGCGACGACTCGCTCGGGTGTGGACGAAGCAGCTGCGGGGAGAATTTCAAGAGCGAGTTCACTGTGCGACGAGGTGTGTGGGGGGGGGGGGAAGCCCCGGCCCGAATGCCAACTTCCATCGCTGCCACATGCCTTCGAAATCTTGAACGACACATCCCCGAAACACCAGGCCGATGTTATCTTTTGTTGAATGCGGTTGGTTCCAAGCCACGAGCGCCACGGGAGATATACCTCTCGAAACCTCAGAAAGCGACAGAAAGCCATAGCCAACATCTCAGAATCCAACTGGGGTCCTGAAGGACCTTGCCGTCTGAAGCGTTCCCGTTTCGCCAGCCTCAATTTCTTACGCAACCGCTTCCTATGTCGCCAACCTCAATGTATACCCCCCCCCCACACCACTCTGGCCAATCAGGAGAGGTTAGGCCCAAGTTAATGCAGCTTTCAGCTCTTAAACCCTGTCGCTACCACAAGGGAGTGCTGTCTCGAGCTGTCCGGCACAACAGTAATCAAATGAGAGACTTCATGATAACGATTTAGGAGCGACCTTCAAGTCAACACGGCGCTCACGATCAATCGAGAATTACAAACTTATGTCAGACAGTCGGGACAAGTAGCCGCGTGATGCAAGTTACAAGACGCACCCCGTTTGCGCTTTGGGGTTGTATTGGTAACCGAACACAGCCCAGGCAACACATCTTCGACGTTAAAAGTGTGAAAGCAGCGGCGGCTCGCAGGCTGCGAGTCACATCCCGGGTTTTCTAGTCTCAGGTGCCGCCGCCACCAACACCACCACGTTGCAGGTGAATTCATTGAGAAACTGGAATGCGATTAGCAGTGGCTTCACCAACAGCGATTTGCTCCAACAGACGGGCATATGCATACACATACCGTACACACACATTTACACCACATACTACATTGACACATACAGAAGATCCCCGTAGAGCCTAAACTGCCGAGGCAAAGTGCTGTTAGCGAGCACCCATTAAGGCCGGCACGGCGAACAACGGTAGGTCGGCTGAGTCTACTTAGGGGAAGGCCCCAGGACAAGTTCAGAAGTTGCTCACCACTCAACGCGAACCGTGGCTGGGAATCAAACCCAGCTCTCTGGATTTTTAGCGCGTTGTGATAACCACTGCAGCCCAGCCTCGCCAGGAGCCAGATGGATTGCGGCATTGCGAGACTGGGAGAGAAGACGACCGGCAGGGATTCATAAAGCAGTGGGTAGATCGTGATGATGAGAGCCCATGAAGACAAAAGCACCTTCTGCAAGGGCAACCAAGAAGCCCACACACATTCCCGTGAGATCTGATTCCGGTGGGAGCCCAGCACTGGCATCATCATCATCACCAACATCGTATTTCACTTGAGCATTCCAATCAATTCACCCGCACGTGCCGCCAGAGACTGGACAATCTTAGGCAGCCTTGGCAGCGTATTTTCGACGAGCAGCCACCACCGACAGACAGCGAGCAGACAAATCCGTTGACTCACGAGGTGGCAGCCCGTGGGCCCTGGGCAAGATACAGCCAAGAAGAGGCCAGTAAGCGGCAACATTATATCAGCCGCAGACTTCTTCGCGTGGCCAATGTAAGCGAGTCGTGCAAACACACATTTTTAAACGCGCAAATTAATCGCATCGTTCACAACCTATTTGGCCACAGGAATAAGTCAGGACCTTGAACGCTTCGCTTCCCTGATGGAACCAAGCTTTGGATTATGGCCAAGTTACCTTATTCACCCGCAGAGCGGGAAACACTGGGCCTATGGTCGAGGGTTAGGAATCGTACCAGAACCAACCCAAACACAGTCCAACCTCCCGAATGTGCGAGAAACCGAATCGATGAAGACATGGTCAAGATCCTACGAATCGAACCCCATCCCCCCCCCCCCTCCTCCCACATTGCAACTGTGGCTACAGCAGCCAAAACCACGGGACATGCATCGCGCAAAGATGCCCGATCAATTTGCTGGCGACATTTGCAACATCGCTCCCGTTAGCCCTAAACTGGCCCACCACCAACCCCGACATCGACGTAGAACTACTCTTGCCAATCACCCCCTCCACACGGAAGGAAAATATATATTAGGCAACGTTTGGGGCAATTGCCCTTTCTTCGTGGCACAAGTCTTCAAGTGCTTGAGAGAAGGACCATTGCCCGAAACTCACCTAATATACAATTCCTTTCGTAAGGCAGTGGGTTTCATCAGCGCGTTGAGTTGTTATTTGTGCACCACAGCCAACGCAGCAGAGACAGGATCACCAAATAATCTTCCACACGAAAGGATCCCATTCGCCGAGCAATGCTTCCGACTCGATTCCTCGTGGCGTTTTATTTTTGGTTTTGAGAGCGGCAGCTGGCTATATATACTATATATTTATAGGATGACGCGTTATGGGCCTGTGACAATTCCAGTAACAATCATTTGTCGTTTGCATCAAACAAGCCGACATTCGCGGTGTGCTACTCCAGACGTCACTGCGAATAGAACACTCGTAATGAAAACAGCATATCACATTTGCTCTTCGCGCCAGTCTTAATAGCACGAGGCCGTGACGACGGTGCGATGTGTCACTGAGGGGGTATAGCCCGCCAGTAGTTGGGGGGGGGGGGCGATGTTGTCAAGTCCTTTTACCCAATTCATCCACTCCTGAACTTTGAGGCCACGTTCATCAGTGACGTTTGTCCATGGTGACTCAATTGCACAGCTCATAACGAGTTGGGTGGGGTCAGAGGCCTTTGGTTATCCCGGTGCTGACAAAAGTGGCCTCATCAGCCTTGACCAGGTTAGGGTGCAGACTGGCACCCTCCTCTGGAGGTCCCTGCTGCTGCTGCTGGTGGTGCCAGCAGATAAATTGATCCACCACGCGTGGAGAGCCCCAGGGCACAAAGTGCTTGTACCCCACGTAGGCCTCTTACCTACAACCTACTCTCCGTGATGTCCTCGGCAGCTAATTTATCTCCACACCTCCCGCTCTGTCGTCGAGTACAGCACCAAGAAGCCACAACAGTTTCTAATACTTTTGTTTTCGTTTCTAAATGGGGCATAGCGCCCAAGCGGAACTATTGCAATCATTTGGTGGTGGGGGAGGGGGGGGGAGGCAGTGGTGGTACATAACGACACGCAAATAGAATATTAAAAAATAAAAACATCTACATATCAACTTGTTGAAATATATATTCTCGCAGTTCCAAGAGGCAGTGCATTCAAGAAGGTACGACAATTTCAAACGAAACCAGTCTTTTGGAAATATTGTTGCCTTGATTCGGGGGTTAAAATGCTGGCGGAACATGGCGGTGGGTTTACCAAATACTGAGAAGTAATCTGCGGCGAAAGGAAGAGGTGTAGCCCTGCAATTGCTGGCTCACACCACTGCTAGTGGGAGAGCTTCAAACTCAAGGCAAGCTCAAGAGAGCCGCCCGTCCCTAGTGAGTGGGAGAGAAAAAATAAACTCAACAGAAATTGCCTTCCAGCAAAGCCTCACCGAGTCCCACTGCTCTTTCAAGAGGGCCCCCCCCCCTGCTACGTTGGGATGTTTGGACCAATTGTCCTCTCAAATATAAATTTGATTTCGTACGGGTGAGGACGCCTGAACGCCCAGAGAAAACCCACCAGGGCATAAGGAAGGGGGATAACACTAGGAAGAGATCCATACGGGTGGGTTCACCTCACCACAACCCGTTTGCTGTGTACCCACTACCTTACACAACGGACCGTGCGGTTTCGGCAAAACTTCAGGACCTGTTCCAAACTCATGTAAGTTTACGATGTAGAAATACACAAATAAAAAAAAGAAATAAAACTCGACAGCCAGGCCCTTTTCAAAAGTAAAAAAATATATCACGACAAAGATACGGCGATGAAAACGCGAGCGCGTGTTGCGGAGGCTTCGTTTCCCCCCTGGACATGGACGTACACACGAGACACGGCCACCGGGCGGACAGCCGGTGGACTCCACACTGGCTTGGCCAACGACTACGACGCGTTTTTTAATAGAGTGGGGGGGGGAAAAGAAAATCTAACTTTGTCTACGTTTTTATTAATCATCAGGCGCTCGCCGACGCGTCACTGTACGTGCACGACCAAACACGGATACGTTTAGTTAAAAAATACTCTCACACACGCACGCACGTGTGCGTGCACACACACACGTATTTTACATATATACATGGCCTCGCGGGTGTTGCCGCGATGGGTTCAAGCGTTTGCGCCCACGACCTTTAAAAGAGTTTCGATCCTGGTTGAGGATTGACTCCACTCATATTTAAGGTTTGCGGCACATGGTGGGGGGGGGGGGGGTTAATAAAATTAAGAAACCACTTTGCCGGAAGTCAACAGTGGTTGTCCTATCGAGTATGACTGACTGGCTCCCACCATAAGAATGTGGACTTTCCCCCACTGGCTTCGTAAGGCTGCCAATGTGAAACTAGCGACGCATGTTCGTTTAAGCGGAGACCGACTTTTAGATCTGCTGACGCGGCGCTTAAAAGTTCGCGACGATATCATCTCGACGTTTGGTAAAAACGGCCGACTCAAAAGTTCGTGGCGTCGTGCTGGGGAGGGTGGGCGGGCGGACGGACGGGCGTGAAAGCCAGAGATTGCGTCGGCCGCATCGTTGCGTTCGCCCTCCGCCGCGTCACAGCGTCCACCCGCAGTCCTGCATCGAGACCTACAGTGGCCGGAGGGGATGGGGCAGTGGGGGAGTCAGCTGCCCAACCGCCCAAGCGTTTGGCCACACGGGTGTACGGCGCCGTTGCTCGGTGGACAACGTCCGCAGTTTTGTTGTTGTTGTTTACGGTGGCGCATCATTGGTTGGCCGCATGGGTGGGAGCGGCGCTGGCTCCACGGGCAAGCGGTGCCCCACGCCATTGGAGATGTGCGTGGGAGGCCGCAAGCCCAGCACCCAAGCGCTAATGTCCACCCTTGCCCTTCCGCCCCTTTTGCCGCTTGTCCCTGCCCTTGCTGCCGCCACCGCCGCCGCCGCCGCTGGTGGAGGTGCTGGAGGTGGTGCAGACCGGGCAGTACCATGGCTCCTCTTCCGGCGGGGGGGTGATGATGCCCACGCAGGTCCTGGACGCACGGTCATACCATCAAGTCAGTCAGCCGGCAGCAACATACCACGTTCGGCAATGCTCAAGCATTACAATTACATGGGATGCTGTACATTAAATCAGCGCCTTCTATTTAACCGTCTCATTAATAATAATTTAGAACTTCAACTTGTAATGCGTCGCCACACAGTGTTTGCTCGTTCTCGAAGTGAACGACTCGGAGGTGTGAGGAGGAGCCACAGACGAGCGGGGGAAGGCAGCAGCCACGCGGTGAACCGGCGCCAAATTCCCCCCCCCCCCCGCCCCCCCCCCCCCCCCCCCCAAGCTCTGCGGTCCTCTATATATTAAGATGTTATCGGCCAATTAATGAGTGTTTATATGTTTGGGAGGAAACCAGTGCACCCAGAGAAAACCCACAGTACTAGGGGGTGCAACTATCCCACACAGACACCTTGCTGCACCACATTCCCCTGGCGAGCCACAACACGGCAACTCATCGCCACCCACGCGGAGCGACTTTCACAACATTTGTCTGATCCGCTGACTCCACAGTGCTGTACACAACAGCCAAGTGCAGCATAGCCACCACCGCCGCCAAGCTAAATAATAATCATTATGAAATGGGAAAAGACAAAGTAAGCCCTACAGCAAGTCACAATGTCTAAACGGGCCCATGTTTTGCCTTGTTCAGCCTCAACACTTCAGGGCTGCGCTAGTCCCAGAGGCCTACTAGCTGACGGATCTGAAACTGTTCAAGCTTTTGTGAATGGAAACAAACTCCTCCTGTGCATGAACAGATCCTCTGCCAATCGAATGCAGGATGAGGGGCTCCCCACGCCGTGCGGGTCCCGGAGGTTACTGAACCATACTTCACCACGCTGGTCAGTGCGGGTTGGCGATGCCACTGAGCACTAAGACGCGGGGGGCGCACAATTACAGTACAACAATGAATTGTGCAGCACCCCCTGCTGGCCACCAGGCAGTCCCGCGACAACCGGTTTGTGCGCGGCGGGCGCCCATCCAAGCACTATCCAAGCTCAACCCTGCTTAGCTTGCGAGATTGGGCCCTTGCCGTAAAAAAATCATCCGTAACAATGACATATGCCTCGTCGTCATCAACGCTGTCATCTTCCGTCGTCGTCATCGCGTTGACGACCGTGATCATTTGCGCTGCCGCTGTGGTGGGGACGCACCAGTGGTACCACTCGTCGCACGTCTCGCAGCCAATGGTGGGCGCCTCCGACGTCTGCTTGATCACGCCCTTGCAGCTCGGGCAGATCCAGATCTTGCCCTCCTCGTAGTCCTGCGTGCGTGCACATTCGTGCGTGTGTGCATGCGTGTGCGCGCACGTGTATGTGAATGAGTGTGCGCGTGTGTGCATTATTGCGTACGCATGCGTGTCAATGAATGCATGTATGTACATATGTTTATCAGCGCGTGCCCGTTTATGTGTGCATGCACGTGTGTGCGCGTGCGCATGTGTGTTCACGCATGTGCGTTCACGTGTGCGTATGCGTGTGTGCAGATTTCAATCGCACGTCGGCCAAAAAGAAAGAGGGGATAAAAGGCGGCAGCGGCGGCGGCATTAGAATATTTCTGATCGCACCCTCAGATAAAACGGCACAAAAATTAAACGAACCCTTCACACACGCTCGGAGCGCACGCACAGTTTGAACGTACACGCAGAGTGTACGCACGCACGGGGAGTTTGAAGGCAGCGCAGCGCCGCTGCTGCCGTAAAACCGTCAAGGGGAGGCAAAAACGTCCGCCGCATCCCTGTCCCTCCCCCCTCCCTCCCTGCCGGGCAGGAAAGAGCCCTCCCTCGCATGCGTGCACAAAATCCGCGCGTCTTGCTCGCAGAGCTCTCTCTCACATGTGCACATCCCGGCGTCTCCGGCACAGACGCAGCAAAAACAACGACGACGGCGGCATCGGCATCAAGAAGCGGGAATTGGTGGGGGGGGGGTGGTGTGGTGATGATGACACGGTCGGGAGTTGGAGGCAGAGTCCGTCTGTACGGGTGCGTGTGTGCGTACGCACGTCCGTTGGTTCGTCCGTTCGTCCAACGATAGGTTAACTCTTGTGAGCGCTGCAGCGATTAATCATATTGTGATGCGAGCGGGAGACTCGCGCTTCCATCTGATAGCGCCGCGAGACGGGAGATTGGAGCAGCGGCTGCGGCAAGACGTATTTCAAACGTGGAGGGAGGGAGTTAGTTAGGAGCGGCGTCTGTTTGCCGTAGCTCAGCGCGTGAGCCCCAGCGGGGGAGAGACGGACAACGTGCACCCTGCGAAGAGCTGTTCCGTACCCAATGAACGAACGAACGCGCCGTTCACTTCTGCCCACGCTGCACAGAGCCGATAAAAACGGCGCACTTGCTTAGGCTACGTGTACGGTGCCTTGCGGGCCGTGCCATTCGGAGACGCTTGTGTTGGCACGTCGGTGTTATAACGGAAAACGCAACCAAAACAACAGCTCTCCTTTGGTGGGATACGGAGACATCCGACATAATTACGATGCGTCGGTACAATAACGATAACACTGCTGGATTGGATGAAGCCCTCCCCCATGATGACTTGCGGGTCTCTTGGGGTTGTTTGGCCATACTTAACCATGCTGGTTCAGTGTAGGTTGGCGAAGTGGGGGGGGGGGGGGGGTGCGAGTCATTTTCCACTGATAACTGTGGGGCTGGGAACTGAACTCAGGTCACTGGGTTCAAAGCACAAGGAGAAAAGCACTGAATCACTAGTTGACCATGAAGCTTTTGTTAAAGAAATAAGAGACCACTTTTGCGATCATGAGCTCTTTCGTATCGCTCTAGAGGCATCACTGTCCGCTCAATTTATAGACACGGACACAACGGTGTGTTGCATGTACACAAGGTCTCAGCCTTCACCAGACCACCAGTCCAAAAGAGAGCTGAATGTTGTGTGGCCATTTTGTCATTTAGACCACCACAGCTCAAAGAGTTGAGAAAGACCACTTCTTTTTTGAGCTGCTGGTCTGGAAAGCGAAGAGTTTTTGTACATACAATGCTACACACCTTGTGCATGTGCTATGGAATCTATTTATTTTTCTGGCTGCTGTATGAGTGTTTCCCTTGCAATTGGTTTCTTCGTCATTTACAGATTTTAATTCTGAATTTAATTAAACACGTCGGGTGACGTCACCAGGATGGCATCGTGCCAAATCACCGGGATGCCATAATATGAAATCTGGACCACTCACGTCTTCCATGGGAACGACCGGCGGCGGCGGCGGCGCCGGGACGGGCGGCGGGGGAGGTGGCGGCAGAGGTGCAAGGGCGGCGGCGGGCACCGGCAGGGCCTCCGACACCAGCTTCCCCGAGCCCTTCTTAGGCGGCGGGCCTCCTCCTCGCCCCATCTTGCCCTTGCGCTTGCCGCCTGCGCCGGTGGGAGGGGTGGCGACGACTGGCGGCGGAGGGGGAGGAGGAGGAGGAGGCGGCGGAGGCGGAAGCACTACGGGGGGCGGAGGCACCACCACTGCCGCCGCCGCCGCTGCCGCCGCCGCCACCACCGCCGCCGCCGCTGCCGCCCCCTTCTTGTCCCGGCGCTTGCCGGCGATGGGTGCGGCGCTGTTGGCGAGGCGGCAGCGCGGGCAGAACCATTTGACGGCGTCCGGGGGGGCTTTGGAGATGCCCACACATGGCCTGCGAGAGAGGAAGGGGGGCGGAGGGCACAAGCGCAGGACAGCGCGTGGGATGGCCATTCAAAAGTGACTCGCAGTGAACAGTGCACCACCACGATGCCCAGTGCAACTGGAGCTTCGCAACACGTGTCCGCAACAAGCCATCTTTCTCTGTTCTTTGGCATCCCGTTATTGTTTCCCACGCCCCGATTGCACGCACTTAATCTCGTGTGAGAGAAATGTTTTTTTGATCGACGAGTCTCACACGTACGTACGTTTTCGCAGCCGCTTTTTAACCCAAGTGTCGCATGTCGAGCATTTCCTCTCTCTCTCTCGAGCTTTTGCCACGCACTACTGAAGATGGCCGCAGTGGTGCGTGGCGAAAGCTTGAGAGAAATTATCCGCCACGAACACGAACCTGGAAATCCACGCTTGGACCGACGAATAGTTAACCGCTCAATTGCGACGTCTCCTTGATAACGTTGCTCGTCCCACGAAATACACTGCACTGCTCACTCTCGACCACTGGTCCACGACCGTCTCTGTCCGCCACCCCACCGCCCCGGGCGCATTGTGTCTGTACGCGTGGGGTGATGCACGCACTCCGACGCGTGGGCCGTTTGTGGGGAGAGCTGACAGCTCGTACGCCGAAAATCGGGTCGCGCCGAGTTCAAGACAACACGCACGCCGCCGCTTGCCTGGCAGACACTAGAAAAGGCCGAGGAGGAGGAGGAGGAGGGCGACTGCAACAGGAACAGACGTGGCAATAAATTCGCCAAACCGCTCGTGTCTCATCGTCCCAATTTACGGTACAGAATAGTCTGTTTTAAGAGTCCGGGGAGGACGGCGAGAACGTTCAAAAAATGTTTTGTACCCCTTTTTTTTCTTCCGTAAAAAGGTTTCAGAAGTTTACCGAGCGGCCACTCAGCAGCTGTGTAAATATTATTTCAGCGCCGCTTTGAGTCGGCGACGGCACATATTAATTGACTTATTTGCGAGTTTCTCCGCTTTAATCTACCGTCGCATCACTCAGGGCTTCGGTCTCTGCATGGGAACAATTAAGGCTTGGGGTGGGGGGTGGGGTGAAGAGTCGTGGATTATGGTGGGGGGGGAGGGGTGGGGGGCTGTGGAGGATGGGAGAGCGCTAACAGCACCGCGGCTGGTGCGTGAAGTCGCCCCCCAACGGTCGCCCGCACTCGCCCTCACCAGTGGAACCAGTCGTCGCACATGTCGCAGCCGATCATGGGGCTTCCGTCGTCCATCTTATTGCAGCCGGGGCAGATCCACACCTTGTTGCCTTGGGCATCCTGCGCATACGCAGACACGGGGGGGGGGGGGGGTCGCTCGGTCACCCGGCCTCAGTGGCGTGGTAGCACGGGGTGGCAAGCATCCCCATCGCGAGTCATTCAATGAGGCACGCTGTTCAAACTCACCGCTTCTTTGCAGGCCGGCGCCTAGGCTTGTGACCACTAGCGGGCCCTGGTGCAGTGGCACTGCCTGCACACTCGATGACTACGCCACTGGTCCCGGTGTGTGTCCGCTGGTCCGCTGCATGTTTGTCTGTCTGCTTGTTTCCTGTGGTGTCACCTTCATGTTTACCAAATGCCTTTATACTTGCCTATCTGTCTGCATGCATTCCAGATGTTGTCCAGCAAAGCTTTGCCAATCAGATTCCAAGTTCACCAGATGCCAGCCAGCTTGTCTATCAGATGCCTGCCTGCTTGTCTGACTGTTTAACCGGTTATCTGCCTACTGGCTGGCCTATCCCCTCCGTATGTTTACCAGATGCCTTCCAATTTCCTTATGTGCCTGCATGTTTCCCAGATGTCAGCTTACTTTCCCTATCTGCCTGTACGCTTACCAGATGTCAGTCTGCTAACCTGTCTGAGTGTGTATCAGATGCCAGCTTACTCATCCATCGGTCCGTATCCCAGATGCCTTCCTACTTGAAAGTCTGTATGCGTGTTTAAATACCCTATCCACCTGCACGTTTTCCAGATGCCTGTCTGCTTTGACTATGCATCTGCATATTTGCCAAATGTCTCTACCTGCCGGCTAAGTTATTCACCTACATATTTTCCCGATGCATGTCTGTTGGCCTATCTATCTATCTGCCTGTACACCAGATGCCTCGCTGCAGCCTATCCAGCCCCCCCCACCCTCCCTTCTGGGTTCGAGCCAAGGTCAAGGCAGTGGAGAAACCGCAGATTAAAAACCCCGTGCCGCGGATGTTTGCTACTCCCCGGTGAAACGAGCGGGCGCGAGGATAAACAAACTTCTAATCGGTAATTGTTATTTTCCTTCCGCCTGAAAAATTGACAAAGACGAGAATTTACACGGAGCAAGAGAGCGCGCGAGGGAGAGGGCGCGAGCTGGAGTCCACTGGTGGGGGGGGGGAGGGGAAAGTGGGTATACAGAAAAAAACGGGACAACTTCCCAAGACCGTTAAGAGCTAATAGGTCTCAAATCAACATCCCTCCCTACTTTGCGGTGCTTTTAAAAGCCCCACAAGTTGCCCTACACGTGGTGCTTTTCCAGTGACGGCGGTGGCCAGCACTCACTCATCATCAGCAGCAGCGCTAAACAAACACAATGCCCTCCTCCTCCCTCCTTCCCTGGCTCCCTTCCCTCTCCCGCCTCGCTTTCCTTGGCTCCACCGACCGGGATGGTGGACGGGACTGGAACTCTGCTCCGTGACGGGAGCATGACTCTGTGCCCAGTAATAATGATAATACGACTAAATTAATAAAATAATAACATAAATAAACCGCACGATCGTCAAATAAACACCGTAACCGCGTGGACGAACTCAAATAAACTTTGCGAAGGATGCAACTCAAAAAACAAACAAACAGCCGTGTCGGCCATCGAGGTTGCTGTGACCGTACTTCACTACGCTGGTCTGTGCAGGTTGGTAAAGAAGGGTGGTTTGGGTGGGGGGGGGTCAGGAACAGTTCATATATCACTCGCCACTGGCGTTAGCCGTGGATGCTGGCAATCAAGTGTAAGTTTGCCGGGGTTATGTAGTGCAGTGCGATTCACCACTGAGCCACGGCTCCACCCCCACTTGCGCATGGAATTTCCCTAATCACCTCGCACTGTTGTCTTGGAGAATTGAGGTCAACATCGCCAAAACCAAGATAACGTTGAAGTCCACAGCTATCCATGCTGCCGACTCCCTGCCTCTGTATTCAGGTCCAGGCTCAAGAGATTCCTCTTCTCTCTGCCTGTGTATGACTGACTGCCTGCCTCTCTCAGCAGATTCACTCAGAGATCCATAGACAAACACAGACTTAGACCACAGACTCGCACAGGGATGCATGGACTCACGCAGGGGCCTAAGACTGCCTCTTTCTCTGAATAGAATAGATATTCCCACTGCCTCTGTACAGCGTCGTTGAGACCCGGTGACATTTACGCGTGCGATTTCAACAGCACAACCATGATGATGATGTTGATGAGGTGTCTGCTGCACAACGAACCAAAAACGTGCTGATGGTTTCTGTGGTGACGGTGCGCTGTAGCGCCGCCGCCGCTGCAGCCGCCGCAGCCGCCGCAGCCGCCGTCAATCCTCCCCCTGCTCCGGGGCCGCTCCCGGCCTTCCCCGCGGTCATTTCGAGCGCCGCTAGCGGTCCATCGGGACGGCCGGGGCCTGCCGCCAACAGGGAGGCCGCGGGCCCCGGTCGGTGCTGGTGGTGCAAGTGGGCCTCGGGCAGCGGCTGCGGGGGGAGCGGCGAGTCGGGCGGGGAGAGAGACGGCGAGGAGGCTGCGCCGCCACCGCCTCCGCCGCCGCCCAGCAGGGGGGGTGACTTGGGGCGTGGGACTGGAGGGGACGGCTTCTTGTCGACGCTTGTCTGGTGGATCACCCTGCTCGGTCACACGTTGGGCGAGATGGTGTTCGGGGGGGGGGGGCGGTGATTGGACCAGTGGGTCGAGTAGTGCGTGAGTAGATGAGTGGGTGGGCGAGTGAGTGGGTCAGTAAATCGGCAGGTCAGTAGGCGGTTGGGTGAGTGAGTGGGTGAGTGAGTGAGGTAGCAAAAAGGTGGATACGTGGGTGTGTGGGTCAGCGAGTGAGTGATGGGGTCCATATATGGATGGATATGAGCGAGTCAACCCGTGGGTGAGGTGGTCGGTAGTGAGGCGAGTGAGTGGATCAATAGGTGAGTGGGTAAGGTGGGTTTGTAGGTAAGTTATTGGGTAAGTGGGCGAGTGTGTGAATAAATTAGTGAGTGAGTAGTTTAGAAGGTGAGCCATTGAGTGTGTACTCCCCACAGACTCCCACCGGGTTAATTACATGGTTTACATCAAGTGGTCTGATTTGTTCGACGGCGTCAGTCGGCACGTGGTCACGTAACCGCTGGCGACTGGTTGCCGGGCATGGTGGTGGCCCACGTTCGTGATACAACACTACCATAGCAAGGGTTGGTGGATCACACATAGATGTATGCAACCCCCAAAGCTGATGGACTGCTAGGTGGCCAAAACATAGCAGCACAGCAATCTATCTGTACGGACCTTTGAGCATTCGTGCCTTGTATGGGTGGGTTGGCGGGGAGTTTTTTTGGGGGGGTTTTGCCGGTTTCCTCCCACACAACAAAACTGCTCCTTAAAAATGTTAATTTGCTGAACTATTCAGGATCCCTTCTGAAAAAAAAAGTCTATAGAGACTCCGTGAGGCTTTCTTGCACACAAGTAAATGTCATTATAATTATTATCACCATCATCATCATTGTAGACATTAAAAGCGAGAGCTAAAAATCGCTGCCCTAAGCAAAAGGGACGCGGTGGCGGCGGTGGCAATCCGTAAACACCGTCTGCGTCTCCCGCTTTAGCCGCGCGACATGGCAAAACTAAAACATTCGGAAACGCCTCGTCACCGCTTAAAAAGGGTCTTTCTTCTTCACGTGGTGGGGAGGGGCGGGGGGAAAGAAAATCAACAAATAAACGGAACCGTCGCATTAACCGTCCTCCCATTAACCGTGCTAGTGGCGGCGGCGGTCATTGTGCAAGATTTGGTTAAGTGATAACAACGCTGCGAGGGCGGCGGTGGCGATCACAGGGGCAGCTGCGGCGCCGACAAAGACAATGAGGCCACGGCGGAGTTTACGAAACGAATGCGGGAGTGGAGAGAGAGGAGAAAGATGTGAGGGTGGCCGGCTAGAAGCGAGGATCACTCAGGATGGGAGCGTAGGACCTTGAGTCGCTCAGCACAATGCTTAAGAAGTGGAAATGTTCTAACCGCGTCAGAAATTAGCCCAGCCGGGGACGTGACCCTAACAATGAGCTACAGTCTCAGCTGTAAACATTCGGCTGTGTACTTAAGCCCGGGGGAAACCTTGCCGAGTTTCAAGGCACCTTTTTCAGAAGGGTCCTGGCATCGGGATGTTTGGCTTCGGAGGAAACTGGAGAACACCCAAAAAGTTTCAAGAACTCAAGTTGGCTGTAATGGCGTCTCCTAGCCATGTCTGGGTTTAGCGATTACAAAACAGGGGTTGGTGAATCACACGGATTTCTTGTGATCCACTCACCGTTGCACCTCCAAAGTTCTGAAACGGGTGCATGCCACATGCCTGATAAACCGCAAATGAGTGTGGGCCGGCACCCATTTCAGTTGGTGTGGATAACATTCCACATTCACATGACAGATCAGTCCATCCATGGGGTGAATCAGCTACTTACAGCGGCATCTGTCCACCCATGCGCAGCGTGAGCTTGGGGATAGCAGGGGAGGAAGCTCCGCTGGGCTGATCCTGCTTTAGCTGTCGCACACACATGCGGACGCACACACGCACGAGCAGGCACGTACGCAAGTGTTTGAATAGGATTTGGTTTACGACACACAGACACATGAACGCACCATGTGGAATACACAGGCAGGTACTCGTATGCACACGATTAAGATTGGAATGTAAACTGTACACACAGATACACGCATGCAAATGTGCGCACACACAGACACATGCGTACACACATACACGTACAGAAAACTCGCACTTTCGTGGCCAAACACACGTGCACGCACGGGTATACAGAGACGGTGCACGCGAGAGAGAACCAGTGAACGCGCCGCCGCACCTTGTCCATCTTGTGCTTCTCTTCCTTCTCCCGATCCTTCTCCCGCTTTTTCTTCTTCTTGTCTTTCTTCTTGTCCTTGTCACGGTGACGATCTTTGTCACGGTTGGGGCCGCCGCTGTCGCCGTGCCGGCCCGGCGGGGCCCGCCCCAACTGCGCGAACGCGAGGCCGCCGGAGAACGCCGTCGAAGCGCCGCCGCTCGCCAGCGCCGCCGACTTACCGGCGCCCTTGTCCCTGCCGTGCTTGTCACCCCTCGTCTTCTCGTGGTCCTTCTTCTTGTCCCGGTGCTTGTCCTTGTCCTTCTTGAGAGACGGGTCCTTGCCCTTGTCCTTCGACTCGGAGCGGTCGCGCTCCTTGGCCTTGTTGGCCGTCCTGTCCGAGTCCCTGCGGCCGCGGCGGTCTTTAGAGCCATCGCGCCGCTTGTCCTTCTCGCGCTGGCGCTCGCGCTCCTTCTCGCGCTGCTCCTTGAGCCGCTCCTTCGCGCGCTCCTTCTCCTTCTTCTTCTGCTTCAGGCGCAGCTCCTTCTTCAGACGCTTCTTCACGTCCACCGTCGACGGCTGGGCCTGCGGCGGCGGCGCCGGCGGAAGTGTGGGCGGTGGCGGCGCCGCCGATTTCGCCGCCGCCGCGCTCGGCCTGGGTTCGGGCGCTGCCGGCGGTGGCGCCGTCGGAAAGCAGGGGGCATCCGTGCGTGGGGAGCACGGGGAGGTACCGTCGGATGACGACGATCGCGCCGGAGACACCGCCGACAGCACCCGCGCCGGGGCCGTCGCCGGCTGGCCCGACTTTGGCGCCGTCGACGTGGCGGCGGGGGAGGCCGCCGCCACGTCCAGCCCCGCCCTCCTCACCACCTCATTGATCGAGTCATCCAGCGTCCACGACGCGGCGTTGGTACTCGCCGCCCGTTCGCGCTCACCGCCAGAGTTCGTCGCCGCCGCCGAGTCCGTGGCCTTGGCCGGGCCCGCGGTCGGACCGGTGGCCTGGCCGGCGCTCGCCCCACTGCTGCCGCTACCGTTGCCCAGAGTTGGGGACTTGATGGTGCTTGACTCGGATGCCGAGTGGTGCTTGGGGCTCGTGAACACCTCGCCCTCCGAGTCAGACGAGAAGGCAAAGGGGTCCGACTCGCGCTTGGCGCAGACCTGCGCGATGACGGCGTCGATCGAGTCCGTGATGGCCTTATCGTCCTGCTGCTGGTGTTGCTGCTGCTGCTGCTTCCTGCCCTCATGTCCGCCCTTCTTGTCGCCGGCGCCCGGTGTGGAAGTGGCAGCAGCGGACGCCTTAGGTGGCGTCTCGCGCAAGGTCCGCTCTACGGCCGCGTTGTACAGCGCCAGCGGGGCCCGTGCCGGGCTTTCCGGTTTGCCGCTTGCGGCGGCTGGCAAAGGAGCGGCGGCGGCAGCATTGGAGGCAGCCTTGCTCTTGCCCTGAGACTTGGGGCTCTTGGTGCGAGCGGGAGACTTTTTGTCTCGTGCCGGCGACCTCTGGCTGTGCGAGCGTGTGGGCCGAGAGGACGGCGTGGTCACCGGTGCCGCCGCCGCCGCAGGGGCGGCCTTTGCCGCCGCCTTTGCGGCCTTGTGCGGCGCTTTGTGCTTGCCATGAGACGGCGCCGCCGCCGCTGCAACGGCCGCCGCCTGCTGCTGCTGCTGCTGCTTGCGCTCCTGTGTGGGCGCTGACCGGGCCACCGGCGCTAGCTCCGGCGGTTCCGGAGAGAGGGGCGGGGACTCGGAGGGGTCTGACACGGGCACCGGCGACAGCACGGGCGGCGCCCGCAGCTGCTGGTGCTGCTGCTGGTGCTGCTGCAGCTGCTGGGCACTGAGCGGGCCCAGTGGCCGACGAGGTGTTCCGCCACCGCCGCTGCCATGCAGGAAGGCCGGGGCTGGCTCCGAGAGTCGGGCCCGCTTGCTGGGGTGGCTCGAGTGGCGGGACGACACGGGAGAGTCGGGTCCGCTGCTGTCGGCGTCCAGGATGAACTGACGCTTGCCGTCATCCGACACGATTTCGCCAGGCTCCAGTCCATCCCGGATCTCGCCCTCCTCCACCTCCTCGTCCTCCTCCTCATCCTCCTCCTCGTCCTCCTCGTCCAGGGAGACCTGCATGGCTTCGGCCGACGTGCCGCCCTCGCACTGGACCGCTTCCTCCTCCTCTGCAGAAGGGGAATGGATGATCGTTTGTGACGGACAAAAACATTTACCGATGATGCAAAGGTGATATTTAAAGGAAGAATACGATGCAATTAATGGCTCGTTTCTAGTAGCTACTAGAAACATAATGACAAATCAATAATTCGTACGATAAAAATACATTCTTATGCTCTTGATACGTACATTTAACCATGCGTGGGAGAATCAATTGTTTATAATTTACACGCATCATGCTTGAAGGATGAGCTAATGTTCCTGTAAAAATTAGACGAAAATATTAAGAGCAGTGCAAGAGAGACAAACAAGATAAATAAAACCGATTCTTCCAATTGAATCGTGACCGAGCTAGGCAGTCGAGGTGAGCTTTTAAAATTGTGAAGCTTTGATAATAAAAACCAAAAATACTCTTAAAGTCAAGGTCTAGAGGACTGCACTCACTGGGATATGACTGCTTTATTTTAAAATCAGTGCAGTGAGAAGACTTGACTGGCAAGTGTAAAACAGACACTTTACATATTTTTTGTTCCCCCGTTAAAAAGTTTTCCACCTGGGGTTGACCAGCCCAGGACATCCAACGTTAGGTGACGATCTACCTACTAGGTAGCTGTTTTGTAGGTTTGGGGGGGGTGGGGAACGGTTTGTGTCGTCTGCTATTGAGGTGATCGTGAAATGGTGAAAAGGAGGTGGTCGGGTGGCTCAAGAGATGAGAGCGCCGAGCTGGCACCGCTGTGATCCTGGGGTTTGAATCAGGGTCGCGAGGGTTGTGCTAGACCGCCACGCAAATGTTGCGAAACTCCCCTTCCCGTGGGGGCGTCGAAGAGCCCCGTAACCCGGCTTGCCAAGAGTAGGCGTGTCAGAAAATATGGAATCCACCCGTTCCATCTGTGCGAGATAAGAGCGTTGCCCCCTCACACGTGTGGGGTTTTCTCTGGGTGCTCCAGTGTCCTCCCATATGTAAATACTCAATGGCCAATAACATATATGGGGGGACCGCAGAGCTTCAGGGAGGGGTGGGGCGAAATTTGGTGCCGGCTCACTGCCTGGCTACTGCCTTTCCCCCGCTTGTCTGCGATTCTTCAAGCATCCGAGTAATTGTCTATCTTTGGGAGCAAGCGGACACTTTCTCGCACGTTACGAGTTGCTGCCAGCTATGGCTGCAAAGTTTGGTCGTACATGTTATGTATATATCGTTTATTGTTAAATTTGAATCACGGTTCCTATGATCACTGTTACATTGTTTTTATTGCTTTATTTTGGTGATTTCGAAAAGTTTTAGTTAAGCCATGTTTGTTTGTTGTAGTACAGAGTTAGACTGATAACTTTAATCAAAATTGTCTTATGGTTGTTATTGTTTGACTTGCACCCCACTGGGATTTTTGCACACAGCGTTGATATACGGTGCTTTTTCTGGAAGATTTTGCTGTTTTTTCCTGGATTTTTCTGTTGCGCGTAGTCACTTTAAGATGTTTTCTTGTTCATGTTTTTGTTTGTTGCGGTTGCACCCGATTCAAGAGCCGCATGGCTCACAGGGCTATACCAAACAAATGAACTGAACTGAATTCTAAAGATTAAACAAGCGTAGTAAGTTGATGGTCTCAGCCTAGACAGAATGTGGTTTTGTAACTAATTTGGCTAAATTCTAGCCGGGCGGGAGGGAAAGTGCTATCCACTACTGTGGATAAGAGCTCACCCAGGAGCTATTTCACAAGTAGTTCTGTGATAACTCCTTCCTTTCTCCAACACGGCGAGGGGGCTGGCGCCGCTCTGCGCGAGCTGCCAATGGATCCTTCAGTCTTTACGACTTCACGCCGATAACGCAATCGGGATAAAATTGTCAGAACACAAACGTTGGAGAACTAAAACAAAAAAGTTGGCGGTGAAACGGCCATATGAAACGAGCACAACGGTTTAATAACCGTGCATTAATTATGTATCGGCAACTTAAAGAGACACAGCTCGCATGACCACAGCAATAAAGATGATATACTGTTTCCAAGAAGTGCGTACGGCCGTTCATGGGTCCTTTAACGGCCGTGAAAGCTTTGCATGGTTTGATTAGCATTCGCTTGCCTGCGCTGACTGGGGTCCCATCATTAATTCACGTTAAACAATCGTAAGTGGCGTGCGGAGGAAACATTACAGAACTTGAGCAACAAGGGGACACATGCACAATTAAAGACCAACCGTTGGAAGATGTGACAGGGTGGCAGATCAGTGGGGTCAGAGATGCCGAGCAGGGGCACTGTTCCTGAGACACCCTGGGTTCTAATCACGGGTTTTAGCCGCTGCCTTGAGTAAACTGGATTTTCAGGCGTAGCCCGGTTGATGGTCTCAGCCCGGTCAAGAGTGACGGCACAGAAAAGCCATCGCATTGAATTAGCCTTTTCAATTAATTTGGCTGAATTCCAGCTTTTAAAAAGACGTGTAAAAAAGTATCGGCTTGAATGCCATGCGACGAACATTTCTCCGTGAAATTGTTGACAAAATGTTGTGTGGATACATTGGTCACTTTAAGGGATATTAGAAGCAGTGTCTGCGATAAAATCTCTATTAATCTGCCACACTCTGCTCTGCACGATTTCCCAACAAACTGTTCATGTCACGGCACGACTTCGAAATCGCAACTGCAATGAAACGATGAAAAAGAATACGTTCTTTCCCAACTCCACAGTTACAAAACCAGGGGGGGCGGGGGGGCAGGTGGGGGCAAGGCGAGGGGGTGGACATAGCCTCCACCCGCCAGAACTCCCACACAACTTATACGCATGAAGAGAGGTGGACTTCATAAAAGGTGGGGGGAGACGTTGGGACACAAGCAGTCTTCGGTGAATAGAAGCTGAACAGCTGGTGGAAACAGCAACCGAAATCGTTTTACAGACGCGTGAAGGAGCCTATGGGCTTGACAGGCTGAGGCGGCTGGTGGACATCATCACGACGGGCCGATCACCTCGACCGGTCCTCGACCGGTCGAGGTGGGGCGAGCGGCGAGCTTCGCCGTTTAAACTCTCGACGACCTTGGGGGAGCTCCAATTATGGCGCTCGCCCATTCCAGAAGCCCCTGCCGCCACCGCCACTGCCGCACGCGGCCCGATTAATTACGCGAGATAAGGGTGAGCGGCAAATCGCGAGCTGCGCTTTCTTGAAATGGGGAAAAGAGGGGCGTTGCGGTGAGGAGGGAGGTTATGTTCCACATTGCCCCCCCCCCCCCACCTCTTCGTTTTTTCCACCTCACAAATCCGCACGGAGGGAAAATAACTGAAAACGAGAAGGCAGCTGGGCGGAACGAAAAGCGGTCCCATGAAAGAGAGAGAGAGAGAGGCGAGGAGAGAGAGGGGACTTTGTGTTTTTTTTCAAAGAATGTTTTAAATGGTGGCTGTGAGGTGGGCGGGAGACAGGGAGGGGTCGGCGTCGCCGGCCGATGATGTGCGCGGACGTGTATACGGAAGAGCCGCTCGGTAATTTTTCACCGAGACGCTGGCGCGGACGCGATGGCACGAGGAACCCTACACCTACGCAGCGCTGGGGATGGACAGATTTAAAAAAAAAACAGCGATATGCCTTTCAACTGCAAAGCGACTTTTCATTCTTCCTATTATCGGGACCCCCAAATAAGGGTTGCCAAAAATCTGTAGGCACAAACCGACGCTAAAATTACTCTTTGCGAATGTGCAAATTATTTTGCCCTGACAACTCCCGATCGGCTTCCATACTGATAATTGTGTTTGTGCTAAGAAAGGTGATTGCCCGAAACACACCCACATTATTATTACTATTATCATATATTAAGGTCACACAGACCCACACGCACAGTGTTATTGACAAATGTGTCAAGTTTTTTGTAATCTGTGGAAGAAGAGAGGTGACTGGAAGGTATCTAAAAAGTAGCTTTGTGATGATATCCTTTTCCTTTACACTGCTAATTAAATCCTTCCGTGGACAAATGCATGTTGGACAGCATTGCGCAATCCACGCGTGGGCAAGATTATTCCCAAATTGTTTTAGATAATAAACGGAATGATAGACGGGTTTTCGGGTTCTACCATGTGTGTTGGTCGGCACGACGTACGACGTTTCGTTGCACGTGATGGGATATCCGAAACGTGGGACACTACGCCGAACAACATGCGGTACAACCCTCAAACACATCGCAGAGCCGTAGAGCACGACAGCGAAAGCCTACGCAGCAGCAGCCTTAAGAACAGTAAAAGGTTTAATGCAGCTCCACGGGGTTGCAGTGCGAGCTGTAGTCGGGCCGAAGACTCCATCTCCCTTTGTCCAAAGGGCGCGTATAACACACACTCGCCTGGGAAATCGTGCCCCCTCAGGAGTGTTCAAATTGGTGGGGGGGGGGGGGCTGTTTAAGGGATGACGAGGTGGAGGGGGGCAATCTCATTGGTGAGCAATAGCACGCTCCCCCTCCATCCCCACTTAGCCAACTTGTCTGGAAAAAACCCACCGCTCCGTTGGTTTTAAGACAGCGCCACTCATTCCAGAGCGGCAGTTGTCGTCGCAACGGCGCAGGCCAGAACAGCCTGTGACTAGCGGCTGCCCTCGTTAATAATTCTGGCCAAGCGTTGAGCCCTGTTCCCTGCGGGCGCGAGCCCAAGTAGCAGGCGAGGCCACCGACTCGCACGTCCGGAGACGGTCGGGTTGAAGGCCGGGGTGTTGCGTGCGAGCACGGCACAAAAACGAGCCTCACCAGTGCGATTCGTGTCTTGGCTTTGTAACGGCGGCTCTGGTAATTTTAAGTCAGAGCGTAGTATTATGGGTCTCAGGTGAGTTTCCGACAAATATGCGGAATTTTGGTAAAGCGTATATCGTTTTAGTCATTAAAATACAAAAATTGCGAAGTGGAACACATTAACCAATGTTAATTTAGTCAGCATTGAATGACTAGATTAAGAATCCACAGGCAAAAGGCTTGCCCAACAATTCTCAAAATTGAATGTCATCACGAGAATAATCAAACAACACCGCACCAACGTTACACGGGCTGCCGTTT